CATATGGTCACTTCCTGTTCACTGGTTGCAAAAAAACAAGATGGCGATGGAGAGATCACCGAACTAGAGGCTTCAAAACATCCACAAACCAACGAGAGACGTCACCATGACGACATCCTCTTCTCATAGACAGTCTGTGGACACCTCCAGGTTAACTCGCTCTCATTTGGCTTTTGTGGATACATTTTCCCTCGTTGTACGTTTCACAGAATAATTGGAGCTGATAATCGGTTCAGAAGAGCTTTGAGTCTGTAACTTATCAGGAACAAATCAGACCCAGAATCTGCAGAATGATCCTCACGTGTGGGGCGTCATCCCAGGAATCCCACCACTAATACCTACAGCAGTGTAATCAATAATATATCTATTAATCATGAATCACCGTCCTGTTATGAATCCCTAATAGTTCCTCTGTGTTGCCTCTTGACCCCCCCTCAGCGGCGGCTCACTCAGAAGCCACAGTATGAACAATCTGTTGGACCCCACTGACACCTACACCGACCAATCGGAGAGCAAGAGCTTCGGAGACGTCCCGCCTCCGGCCACACCCGACCGCAGGGCCTCCGTGGACGCCCGGTCGACCTCTCCTCTCCCCGAAAGGAAGCTGGAGTCGGCCTCGGAGTCAAAGACCAGTCAGACGAAGAGCTACCACGAACAACCTCCTCCTCCTCTTCCTCCGCCTCCTCCTCCTCCGAGTCACCACCTCAGAAGGAGCTCTGCAGGTTATCGACCAATCTCTCCGCTCCCTGACAGGAGGGCTGACTCAGCATCTGATGTCCAGGTACCAGAGGTTTCATTCTAACAAAATAAAACCTCAAATGTTGTCACCCTGGTTCCTCCTTCACTTGTCTTGAGTTGTTCCTCTCTTTTCTTAGGCGTTATCACCACACGGGCCTCCTGAAAACCCACTGTTTCCAAGGTAATCCCCCAAAACTGTCCCTGGATTCAGAGTCTGATTCCTGCTGCATTATTAAACACGTTCATCTCTTTAGCTTGTCGGTATCTTTTCTTGTCATGAAACGATCTGAATTCATTCAGTACGTGTGGGAATGAATCAGGAGAATCAGGAGTGGTAGATTTGTGCTTCGTAGCAGTTAGAAGGGATTTAAACGGACACTTTAGGTTTCAGAGGATTCTAAAGTGTTTTTGTATTGAAATAATTCAGCTGAAAGTAGATTCAATGTTGTATCTGTCCACCGGGTGGCGCTGTGATTATCAAAGCGGTTTATTGCAGACTGAAGTGAGCTGTTCTTATTAAGGTTGATGTGTGTGAGGGTCTCTCACTTTTGATTATTATCATTTAATGATGATAATGTCATAAAAACATTATGCTGAACCTTTTTCTTCTGTCAAACACTGATGCAGATTTTTATGCTTAAATGAACGAGACGTGCCTCTCGTTAGATTACTTTCTATTCATCGTCACATTTTTGTTTAATAAAAAAAGGAGATTATCTGAAGAGTATTCAGTCAAAATGTTCTATTTTCTGGCTGGAGTCTGGTGTCAGTTTCAGTGTGTGTGTGTGTTTGTGTGATGTTGTTCTTCCTCCTCTTGTTTCAGAGGCACGAACCCGTTCGCCACCGTGAAGCTCCGCCCCACGACGACCAACGACAGATCGTCTCCTCACATCCTCTGATCCGGAGGAAATACATTTATGTTTCAGGAGAGTTGAAGCTGAAGGAAGGTTTGCTGAGTTTGGTTTAGTTTTGTACAGCGTTGGATAAGGTTTTTTTCTTGTACCAAAACCAAAAGTTTAATAGTTTAATATCACAACCGTGCACTTTTAAAGTAGTTGTTTTATTAACTCTATGTACAGTGTAGCTCTGTTTGTCTGTCACAGTAAAAATCAAAATAAAGAAGGAATAAAGAGACGCTTTGGGAAATATGCTAACCTGTCTGCTGAATATGAAGTCTGTATGAGACATGTATTTAAATAACTTACCCTCAAACAATGATTCATATGATGTCTTACACAAAGTTACTCCTATTTAGTAGTTGGTTCAAATAGTTTGTTTAGACAACAACACTACTTAGTTAGGTTCAGACAACAAAACTACTTAGTTAGGTTCAGACAACAAAACTACTTAGTTAGGTTTAGACAACAACACTACTTAGTTAGGTTTAGACAACTAAACTACTTAGGTTTAGACAACAACACTACTTAGTTAGGTTCAGACAACAACACTACCTAGTTAGGTTTAGACAACTAAACTACTTAGTTAGGTTTAGACAACAAAGCTACTTAGGTTTAGACAACTAAACTACTTAGTTAGGTTTAGACAACAAAGCTACTTAGGTTTAGACAACAACACTACTTAGTTAGGTTTAGACAATAACACTACTTAGTTAGGTTTAGACAACTAAACTACTTAGTTAGGTTGAGACAACTAAACTACTTAGGTTCAGACAACTAAACTACTTAGTTAGGTTTAGACAACTAAACTACTTAGTTAGGTTGAGACAACAACACTACTTAGTTAGGTTTAGACAACAACACTACTTAGTTAGGTTTAGACAATAACACTACTTAGTTAGGTTTAGACAACAAAACTACTTAGGTTCAGACAACTAAACTACTTAGTTAGGTTTAGACAACTAAACTACTTAGTTAGGTTGAGACAACAACACTACTTAGTTAGGTTTAGACAACAAACCTATTTAGTTAGAGTTTGATAAAGATCGTGGTTTGAGCTAAAATAACCACAGAAGTGTCGTTGCTTAAGTACGCAAGTTATGTGACAAAACGTCAACGTTGACTTTGCGTTTCACTTAAGTCGCTTAAATATGGGACTAACAGAGTCTTTATGCTAAGCTAACACTACCTAGCTCCAGCTACATATTTATATGAATGTATTCATTCTCCTCAGCTGTAAAGTGTTTTCTCTCTTTGCTCATTTGATGAATTAGTGTGTCCTGAAATCAGAACGTTGATATGTTGAATCAGAACATGATACTGTGAGGATTTGTGATGTTATGTTTTGTGAGTTTAACGTGTTGTGTCCTCTGTGAGTAACAATAAGTAAAGAGACAGTTATTACTCAAGTATTCTTTTTATTATCATCATTTCTTACTCGGAGCTTTTCTCTCTTCTCAGCTCTCCTTATATATATATTTATATATATAATTTTATTTACTACATCATCTGATCGGAGGCAGGGAGTGTGGAGGAGGTGAGGAGAGGAGGCGAGGTGAGGAGGTGAGGGAAGGTGGATGAGGAAGAGGAGGAGTGGGAGGAAAGTGCACTGATATGTGAACATCTAGAAGTAAAACTTTAATACATCTACACACCATCTACAGCACTAGCACCACCTGTTAGTACCACAAACTACCGTCATCCTGAAACCCAGACAGCATGTGCGATTAAATAGATTTTTATATTTATATATATATAAAAACTGAAAAGTGCCACTGGTGCCGTTGTGCTTCTTCCTCACATTAAACTCTTTTGCTGTGGTGGTTCAGAGAGAGCGGGGCTGGTCTGACTCCATCTGAGGGTCCGCAGGAAGCTGACAGGAGTTTGAAGGTGGCAGTTTACAAAATATGAATGCAGGGACGAAGAGGAGGAGGAGGAGGAGGAGGAAGAAGAAGAAGAAGAAGAAGGAGAGATGTTCAGATCTCCCCTACTCATGCACCAAGACCTCGAACTCTGAAAAAATAAATATTTGCACAAATGAAATGAAGGATTAGAATGTTAATATTTCCATGTCGTCAACAAATCCGATGAAAATAATGAATTCTACACAAATGAACAGTGTCACCAAATCCCGATCCCAATCCCACATTCCTGCTGCCATAGATACTCACTAAAGCACCTCGTGTGTATCCATCCGCGTCTAAAAGTAGTCCCCAACAAATGTGTTCTGTGTAAGGTTTGATTAAGAACTGCTCACAGAATGTGTTTCGCAGAATTTCTTGAAATTTGGTTACGATTTACGATGTATTTTGATTTAAAGCTGACTAATGGCCAATGGCTCATGTCCAGGTTTTAGTTCTTTGTTCCACCCCTCTCTCACCGTCGATGCCGATCTTTCCGTCTCCATCTTTGTCTGCAGCTTTGAGGAACGCTGACGTTTCAGAGTCGGTCAGATCTCTGCCCTCCTTGGAAAATCTCTTCAGTACAAACCTGAGAAAAGAAAAAGATCGGTGTTAGTGAACACACAGTGTGTGTGTGTGTGTGTGTGTGTGCGTGAGGCTTCCTCACTTGAGCTCCTCCTCCTCTATGAAGCCGCTGCCGTCCACATCCAGAACCTGGAAGACCTTCTTGACGTCTTCCGCTGTCATGGCCTTCATTCCCACCATTTCAAAGAACTTCTTGGGGTCGAATGTTTCTCCTGAAACACACAGAAGGTTTATGAACATTCACCTTCTTTACATTATCCAGGACAGGCTGAAGTGTGTGTGTGTGTGTGTGTGTGTGTGTGTGTGTGTGTGTGTGTGTGTCAGTATCCAAAGCTAACTTCTGGAGCTTTGTAGGCTTGTTTCCGCAGAGAAAACCAACCGAGCCAACTGTTACCGACCTGCGAAGACTTCAAGAGCTTTCTTGATCTCCTCAGCTTTCAACAGATCGGTCATCAACATCTTGTCAGCTGGAGAGGGACAGACAGAGAGGGACAGACAGACAGACAGACAGAGGACATGGAAGGGGAGAAATATGAGAACTGTATTTTTTAAAAGTTGAAAGCGGTCGTCAGCTGAACTGGGAGCAGAAGAGTCGAGGGTTTGGGACAAAAGCTGAGAGACAAACTTCGAGTGTCTGTCTAAAGGTCTGGCTCAGAGACACTTTAACACTAGATGATATGACAGATGACAGACCCTCAAATGTACACAAAGAGGATTTTAACCCTTTTAAAGTTTTAGAGTTAGAGTGTATAGAAGTCTATGAGTCGACTTCTCTTATTGTTTCTCCAAAAAACAGAAAATGAAGAGAAAATAAAGGAATAGAAGATGCTGCTTCAGTCTCTTTGTGAATATTTCCCTCAGATGCCAGCAGGTGTCTCACCTGAGACGAAGACTCTGTCTCTTTAGAGCAGAGACAACAATGAATGTGTTTGTGCCTATAGCACAACGTGTGTGTGTGTGTGTGTGTGTGTGTGTGTGTGTGTGTGTTTGTTCTGTCACATTGTGTCTCGGTGAGGACACGTGATTGACGGAATTACTCCCCCCCTCCCTGAACAAATGACTTAATTCTGTCCAGTCTGCTTCTTCTGTTATGTGTCTAGATTGAATTGCAGAAATAGTCTTGAGATGTGCGAGCTTCTCTCCATCTGTGAGAAAATGTCCAGAGAGTCACCATCTGAAGATGTTTCTTTCTATTTGGTTGAGACAGAAAGGTCATTGAGATCAACCTGTGGTTACTCTGTACAAAGCTCCCATCATCCTTTGCACCAACCGAGTCCCATTTTCCTTTTTTCCTCAAAGCAACTTAAAGCTACACATGAGATTGTCTGCACAGATGTGTATTTGTATATGTTGTATACAATGTATTCATCTACGTGGTTGTATTATGTACAAGAGAGCCTTTAAGGACCAACCAGTGAACAGGAAGTGACCATATGTGGACTGAGGAGGAGTGAC